AAATGTACTGTTCTCAGGTGATGGGCAGCCTGATACCCTGACTGGCTCTCTATGCATTACACATGTGTAACAGAATTTCTCATGCACCATATAAAAAAGTACAAAAAAGAGAAAGACGAAAAAAAAAAAAAAAAAAACACATGATGGAATAGTGATAGGAAAACTGGGTGAAAAAAATTCATGTCAACTCCAGAGAATAATTAGGAGAACCATTTCCCCATCACCTGTCCCCACAGTTCTGACAGCTTCCGCCCTTCCTCAGCAGCTCCATCGCCTGTCCCCGAAGTTCTGACAGCTTCCACCCTTCCTCAGCAGCTCCATCGCCTGTCCCCGAAGTTCTGACAGCTTCCGCCCTTCCTCAGCAGCTGCCACCACACAGAAGCCTGCATGCCTTGGTAGGCACTGACCACACTTATTTTTCTAGATACATTTCAAACTGCCTAAGACTATACCAAACCACAATGAAAAGTCTTCTGTTTTTTTCCTTCCTTTCTTCCTTCCTTCCTTCCTTCTTTCTTTCTTTGTTCTTTCTTCTCTCTCTTCTTCTCCTTCTCCCTCTTCTTCTGTTTTGTTTCGTTTTGTTTTAGACAGGGCCTCTGTCCCTCTGTTGCCCAGACTGGAGTGTAGTGTAAATCACAGCTCACTGCAGCCTGGAACGCCTGGGCTCAAGTGATGCTCCTGCCTCAGCTTCCACAGTAGCTGGGACAATAGGTGTGCGTACCATGCCTGGCTAATTAAAAAAAAAAAAAAAAACAGAAAACTTTTTCTAGAGATGGGGTTCTCACTATGCTACCAAGGCTGGCCTTGAATTTCTGACCTCAAGCAATCCTCCCACCTCCATCTTCCGAAGTCTAGAGATGACAGGTGTGCACCTGGGATTACAGGTGTGCGCCACCATGCCTGGCCATTCTTTGTAGTCAAGCCCAGCTGCTTGAACATGATTTATAAAATAATAGATGGCATCTTTCTAAATTGAAAAATTAATAAGATTATTAAATCTGATTTACCTTCTTTACTTACTTAAAGTTCATGGTAAGTTAGACCTGGTAGGCTGAGGGGCAGAGGGAGGGGCAGAGGGGTCAGTGCAGTGAGAAGAGGGATGTCTTCAACCAGGGAAGCAGTTGGGCCTATTGAGGTTTGAAGTTGTCTTCCATGAAAACAGGGCTCAAAGAGAGTTGCATCCTAGAAATCCAAGTATTCATTACTGGTTAGGTGAGGAGGAAGAGAAATCATTTAAGGAAATTAATGATAAATATCAGTTAAGCACAAGTTCTGATGTTTTACACATGAGCAAATATCCCTGGGGTATTCCCCAGTGGGAAATACTCATATCATGCCCCCTTCCTTCAAAGGCTTTTAAAGGATCCTCCCCATGTTTGGGTATTTTCTGTCAGTGGGGACTTAGGACTTCTGACAGAGGAGCCCTGTGTCTGTCCACTAAGTCATAATTCCTGATGTACTTGCCTGCTTATTGGTAAATTTTAGTTGATCTGTATCTTTCTGAAAGTTTTAATTCTACTGTAAAATTCCCATCTTTAAACTGAGACATGGGAAGCTGCAGCTTCTTAGCTTGGGCTTTGTGGACATCTAAGGCCTTCAAGGATGGCTGGAAAGCGTCTGTGACCAGCATGGAAGCGTGTTGAGAATTGGATGTGTGAGCACGCACCTGCTGGCGGGCAGAGGCCACAACTTACCGTGGTCTCCAGGAGATCCCTGAGCCCGGTCTGTTCAGAATCATGGTAGAAAGGAACACTTGATGGATATTCAGCTATTCAGTTTGTTAAAATACGTTTAAGAAAGGACGAGGGGGCCAGGCGCAGTGGCTCACGCCTATAATCTCAGCATTTTGGGAGGCCAAGGTGGGCGGATCATGAGGTCAGGAGTTCAAGACCAGCCTGGCCAACATGGTAAAACCCTGTCTCTACTTAAAAATACAAAAATTAGCTGGGCATCGTGGCAGGTGTCTGTAGTCCCAGCTACTTGAGAGGCTGAGGCAGGAGAATTGCTTGAAATCAGAAGGCAGAGGTTGTAGTGAGCTGAGATCGTGCCATTAAAAAAAAAAAAAGGACGAGGGACACTTTATTTAGCAGCTATGCCTGTAATAAATTACACTAACACAAAATATATTGCCAGTGATCTTTTCCCCCTCACCTTGACAGCACTTTTATTTGTACTTTGCTGGAAATAACTAAACTACATATTTTATTTTTATTTATTTATTTTTTTTTT